AAAATAAAACTGTCACAAGCACAAAATAAACCGTTGACTTTTCGCATGCTTTTCTTTCTGAATATAATTTTAAGGGGGCTTCCTAGCTCCTTCAGACCACTTGCTGGCCTCTTTTTTGTTTGTGCTTTATGTTACAGCGCGTCAGATGTGAGAATTCAAGCGCGCATTTTTTTAAAGATCAGAACATATTTGTGTTGTGCACTAAGTCCAATTCGATTCATCAATTTAAAATTACTGTGTACACTATAGGGCGTAAAATGCAGGTTATTTTCAAGAATATCTTTTGGAAATATGCTCTAGCTTTGTAGAAAAGTGWTTTTTTACTTACATTCATTAGACCCTCTCTAGTCCTAAAACTGAAGTTACCAGCATGCTTTTCATCAAGTTCTTGTATTGCAAGCGGTAGGTAAGCCGGTATATATCTAAAAATAAAAATTCACTCTTAGGTGAAAACCATGCGTCTAAATCCAAGGCAATTTTGAMATTCCACATATGAAAAGCGATACTTATTTAGTGAACTGGAATGCTCTCTATATCTGTGGAAGTATTGGTTAACATTTTTGCRCGCAAAAAAACATATATTCATTCTCAATTTTGCTATTAACACAAGATTCGCCAGGGCATGAACAACGCAAAAACATGTTGCCATTATTGTTAACTGGAAAAAATCGCGCGGTATAAAGGTTGTAAATTTGATGGAAATATGATGTAAGTGTTCAAAATGATGGAAATTTGATGGAAATGATTTAATCAAATTTACATCATTTTGGACACTTACATCATATATACATCAAATTTACAATCTTTAAAGCGCGCGATTTTTTCCAGTGGTTTGTAGAGTCAGTTATTATTGTTTGTAGTGTCAGTGACACTAGCCTGTAMTATAGTAGTGTAATTTCCAGAAGTTACCTAATTTTGCAGTGGGTGATTGATTAATTTTCAAACATTGAGCAGAGATAAGTATCGAATTGACGAGCTGAGCGACCGCGCCATAATAGAAGACTTCCAGTCTTTTCTCGTGTTCCTGATGAGCGTAACCGATGATTTTGACTCCGGGACACAAATACACTTATTATTTCGCGGATATCTGGTGTGGACTCCTGATAAAATGGAGGAAATTATTACCTGTCAATCCTGCTGTCATCTTCTTGAACAAAATTAATCAATACTGACTCTGTTTCAGGCTTGACCTGCGCAAAGTCGAATGATACAATTCGCAGAAAAGTGTGATACTCGTCAAATCCAATCTCCTTCGTACGTCGGCGATATAGCTGGTTAAGGGAAAATAACAATACTAAATCTAAAAACAATTAAAAATGGTCTAATGCATATTTTCGTTACCTTGGTRACTTCGTCTGTTTCCTGAGCACAAATGATGAGCCGATGACGCAATGTAATTACCTTTGAAKACAAAGCAAGCATTAACCTTGTACGGGGAGCTCAATTAAATTCCTTGGGGCTGTTTCATATTCTAAATCGCTTGCGAAGTATATGTCGCACACCTTTAGACAATCAAGGTCAATCAAAGATAATTAACGTAAAAACGTAAAAAATAATAAGCTGCATTGACTGACAATCAACGCTGCCATAAAMACAAAATTTTTCCAATTTAAAGAACAATTAATTGCACCGTCATCGTATTGCAGAATGCGCATGCCATCTTAAAACAGTTCCTATTATCGTATGTTATATTATTATATTATTTCAAAAATCATACATAATTAACGAGTTATTATACCAATAGAAAATGCCTATTTGGTCACTACATGGACCTTTATATCTGATAAAACAGCGAAACAGCGAAACAGCCACCAGGAATTCTAATTTACTTTGTTATTCATTTTTACGTATTCAATGTGGGAAGACAAGAGTGCTTTGTGAAGTGTTTCGCGCATGATCAGTTTGCCCCGTTTGTCTCAAAACTTATTTTCACGACCATTTGTCCAAAAATCCTAACGTTTTGAGTTTAAAATTAGTGTTTRAGTTTTTKAAGCCGTTCAAKAAACTCGCAAGTCGTGTTTTATCGGGTATAAAGATTCSAGGTGAGCAATCCTGCTCGATTATTTAACAGTACATAAATTACCTCCAAGAGCCTTGACCAGATGTTGAAAAGTATTAATCGCTTTTCTTTTACTGATTTGCGTCCTCCTTTTTTGTTTTCCTCGGCGTTGATTAAAGATTGTCCAACTTCACAAACAAAYTGGGGATCTTCGATGAATACCTCAGAAAACAACTGTACAAACACGACATTATTAGCTTTATAATCATAGCTAGATTTTTTAAAGTTCGCAAAGCTTGAATTCTACACTTGCTGTAAATCACTGGCTTGCATGGATAAGTATCTAGTCAAAAGAATAAGAACTTAAGGAATTTAAGATTTAACTAAACTACAAAATAAACCATTCAACTTATATTGGTTATATTGTGTTCTGTTGTCTTAAATATAAACATTAAAATGTATTTCTGTGTTCCTAAATCTCTGGACCGCGTTTTTACAATTAGGTGTATCTGCAGGATAGGGGTGGCGAATGGTACTTAGAAATAACTGGGTCTCGGCAATTTTTGGTACAATCTCGAGATCTCGGACTGCCAAAAAAGGATCTCGGAATCTTGTGTTTCCGGCAAATTTTTTTGGCCTCGGACTTCTCGGAATTTCTACAACAAGATCTCGGATTTTGATTTGCCGGCATGCTCTCGAGAGCGTTGATTTATAAGAATTTTTCAATGCATAATTGCTCTAAATAAATGAAACAAGAACATAAAAAAAATAATCTCGCTTCTCGGAATTTGGAAATTTTTAACATCTCGATCTCGGATTTTAAAACAGCGATCTCGATCTCGGATTTTACCATTCGCCACCCCTCAGGATGAAACTAGTTTTGTCTTCCTTCCAAGAGTAACCGAGGAAGAATGAGAAATTCTAAGCGGAAAGAGGMAACAGTCAGACGCCAAAGATTCATTCTCACAGATGGAACAACACTTGCATTATCTTTGCATGGCCCAGTCCTAATAGATGTAGATCAAGAGCAGACTCAGTTGCTGGGTACTCAGTCTCCGTTGCGATCATTTTTATACATACTGTCCACCCATTTCCTCATGCAATTTTAAATACTCCCTCAAGGCAATCCTCCATCCGCCTCAGTAGATATTCAGAATCAATATCAGATATATGCTATTTTTAGAGCTTTTAATATTTCAATATTAAAAAAAAGCTTACATCTTTCTGTGTTTGCACAGAAAAACTTTTTCCACTCGGCTCAAGTGTGTCCCATTCCTTAAGCAATACATCTAGTAGTCGTTTTTCCATTGAGATAATTTCTCCAGCACTTTTAGGCTTGTGAACATCAAGCAAATTCTAAAATAAAACAAAACAAAATAATAATAATAATAAATAAATCAATAAAGAAAACATAGAAAGCAGTAAAATGACAGACTGTAATGACAACTTTGAACTGGATAAATGTATAGGAACGACAATAACATGTAGCAGCGCACTGTTTGCAAGCATGTAAATCACGAGGAGGTACGGCAATTAACCAGTGTAAATTTATAAATTCCATGGTAGAAAGCCACTACATTTGCAGTTAATGCGGCATTCAAAGGTTTCAGTTCAGRTATACACTGCAAGTCCTCTCTCGCAATATATTTCCATGTGCATCCCCGGCGAAACAATGAGTGTAAACATGGCAGAAAAAAAGCATTTTTAAAGCTTTCATGATGCTTTGTATGTGCATTTAAAACTGCAATCAGCAATAGAGCAGTTTTAAMGCCCACAAAGAATATTCTATATTGCCAATCAAATTCAAACATAATTTAAAGCATTTTTAACTGCAAGATAAAATATTATTTTTAAGAGAAAATCGAAGTTAAAATCATACAACAATAAGATCAGTCTATTGATACCATAAGAGTCAAAAGATGAAAGACCGGTGGCCATGTTGGAGGAATGAACAATAYAAAAGATAACAATGAGAAATCCTTTGTTGAAGTTCCTCCAAGATGGCCGCTGTGACATAACTTGAAAACGTAGAATGGTGAACTGAAAATCAAAAATACATTAAAAAGAGTTACCTTGAAGACATGGCTGACGGCCTCTGGAATGCGACTTATCATAGCTAAAGATGGATGAAACTCCAGCATATACACATACTGYAAAGCAGGCCTGATATGAAACAAGAGCAATAAATGCATAAACAAAACAATTAGAAAATTGGCAACCCAGAAAAAACATATATATTTTGAAATGTACAACAAAAGAAATCTACTGAACTAAGTAAATATGTTTGGTCTTTAAACGAGAAGAAAATCGAAT